TGAAACTATGTAAAATTAGTTATTTGTTAATTATCAATATGAAAGAATAAACTATAAAAGTAACATATTGTTTATAATTTGCTTAATTTTTTCATCTTCATTACGCAAATTTTTTATATTTTATAAATATAGAATTTTATAAATGTTATAAAAATATATGTATATTATGTAAAATTTTATGTTTAAATATTTATTTTATAAATATTTTTCGTTCATTTTATAAAAAATTATTATTAAACGCATTGTAAAACTGTTATTAAACTTTAATAAATATTTAAAAAATTTTAAATAATCTAAATTGCTAACAATAAGGATTGAATGTGCAACTTCATTAATACAATACATAAATTATATTCAAAATGTTGTAATCGATATTTGAAAAGCTTATATTGAATTATTTAAGTGAATCTAATGATTTAATAGATTAGACGGGAATTTATTTATAAAGAAAGAACTTGAAATTTAAGAAATAATTTAAGAAAATACAATTCAGCCTTATCGAATACTCACATACAAAAACGCAATATTTATACAATAATGATAGAACAAAATCCTTGTAAAAAGTCAATCACACAATTAAAATAATGATTCACATTTGTGTGATTACTATCTCCATTATTTCCTCGATGTGAATAATAATAAAATCCTTCCATTTATAGACCCAACTTTATTATTAACCAAGATAAAAGATGAAAACAAAGTATTGGCAAGGGACGAGTAAGCACGCCCCTACCTTAGCGGCTATCTGGAGTAAACGAGTTTAAAACTTTCTCGCGATTTTCGTTCAAAATATCGGACGATGTCGATGCGGTTATTCCAGCTAATCATGCGAGGAGAATAGAGAAAAGTAGCGGTCCGAGCCAAGACAAGCCGGCAAGTTTTCTAGGGCAGAAAGTGTGTGACGTGCGGCGACGGAAAACTTTTCTCAAAGACCGACGTAAATGAGGTCTCTTCTCCCTTTTCGAGCAACACGTTGCTGCAATTATAATCGCAACCACTGGATGCTTTTCCTTTTTTTTCAATTTCTCAAGGCCTTTTTATATCGCCTACACTGTATGCACAGTTGAGCGATAGAATTGATTTCGAAAGTGATGCGGATCGCTTCATGTACACTTATTATTGCTTTATTATGCTCACTTGTATTATAGTATTATAAATAGTATTATATTATATATACTCTAGTATTATAAACATTGATACTTGCAAATTATTTATACTCTTATATCAACTTTTCGAAATTCAATTCAACATTTTTTTTTATAAATTCTCGTTTATTATTTACCCCATACGCATATAACTGAAATAATTATTGTATTTTCAATATTTATTCAATTTAATTCATTTAATTTAGAGTACTTATGTTTATCTAAATACTTATATTAGAATATAAATATAAAACAAACAGAAACAGAAAATTTATTCATTGCAATTAAAATATAATAACTATAAATAAATTAGCTACGCTATATTTTAACAAAGTATTTTATCAAAGTACCTTATTCATAATTGTTTACGTATAATTTATTACAATAATTATCAAAATGCGTCTATGTAAAGAACATTGGCATTGATATTACTTCAACAATATAAGTTATATTGTAAAGAAATATGAAGAATCGAAGAGAAGATTATAGTTTGGAAGATGAATTACTTGAAATATATATATATATATATAGTACTCTATTACTATATTAATGATGGACTTAGTTTGAATTATTGAACTTATAGATTTTAAGTGAGCTGAGCTAAAAATACCATATTATGCTGAAAATCTTCCTTTACGATAAAATACAATGACTAACATTATTATAGAAAAGAAACCACAATTCATTTAAAGTATAAAATAATTATGACGCACAAAAAATTGCAGAAATATACCGAGAATTTTACACGACATTTTGACACTATTCGGAATGAGCGATAAAACTTAAGAACTTTAATGAAAGTTCCACGCTTAATCTTAAATTTTACAGAGTCCACTAAAAATATTCCAAGTTACCCTCATTTAACTGTATTAAGTTGAACGAGTGACAAAATAATTTACGATAAAATAGCACTTGGAATTGTAGTGAAAATGGTAATTCTGTGAAATTTTCTTATTCCTATATACATTAAAGTTAAAGCTTATGTAAAAATCTACCCTATAGGGTCAGATTGAATGTGTATCCTGCGTAACTTTAGTTTCAACGAGTGTAAATGAAAAATCACGTTTGAATTGAAACGAAAATACATTTCAAGTTCAATCTCGAATCGTCTTTTTTTTCCATCGATAATCCTCGTTTCATTGATGGTATGGGTGCTCACAGATAACTAGGCGCACACGTATGATACGACGGCGCCTCATTATACTCGGATTGCACGTATGTAGCAAACAGCGCATAGGACACTGCTAGAACAGTGGTAAATAGGCATTAGCGCGACTTCGTATTGCGATCGGTAAGAAAGCGTAAGATCATTGACTACCGATGATATATCAATCACGAATATTTACATATTTAGTTTAATTCTATTTAGTTTAGTTTATCTTTTTTTTTTTTTTTTTTTTTTTTTTTTTTTTTTTTTTTTTTAATTTATTTCACTTATTCGCATTCGTATATTTATAATATAAATCTATTCTCGAGTTTTCTATTTCTCGCTCATATTAAGTATCGAGTATCTTTCATCTAATTTAATATTTATTTTCGATTCACCCGATATCGGATAATATAGTAAAAGATATTACTGAATTAAAAAAAAAAAAAAGCTCGCTTATCGTATACGTGAATCTCTAATGTGATTCGGTGTTTGACTTGTATGTATAATAAAATACAACTTATATGTATTATTTATTTCGAATATAGAAGTTATTTCAAGGATTATTCGAGTCATGCCAAATATATAATCCCTATTTAATAATTAATATGTTTGTGTAATATTATAATAAATATCTTATAGACTACGATATAATTCGACTAGTTATTTAAGAATAATTAATCACTGCTTTAAACAATACTTTATAAATAATTATTGTTATTCAAATCTTAGATAAAAAAAAAAATAAATAAATAAATAAAAAAAAAACAAATTCTAAAAACGTTTAAAAACTTAAAATAAATCACACAAACATTTTTATTACTAATTATAATTTAATAAAAAAAAAAAAGAACAAAATTTATCAATCATTGCTTTCTTCGGTTCGGATATATTAAGCATTATTAACCATATGAAAATTTACAACTTATATAATCAAAAATAATATAAATTGCTAATGATGAATTACTACATTTTATCGGATTAACAAAAAAAAAAAATGTAATTAAACATAGTATTAAACGCCTATTATTTACACACGATATTTCGTCTGTTTTATTGACTTCCTTATCAATAAATTTCTTATGGTCTTTTTTTCGCGTCGGGAAAATTTAATAACATTCTTATAAAACCACATTCCTGCAAGCTAACACCATCTGTTCTTCACTTATTATACGAACCATCTCATTCCACGTTCTCATTTCCTCCAAGCTATAAAGCAATGAATAAGAGAAGGAGGAAGTTTATAAGAAGCATCGTGGAAAAGGTAGGAAGAAAAGTAGAATCGGTTCGGCATGTAACTGTCGGATCGAATTGATTTCGCAAATCGTTCGAGATGCTTTCCCAACACCGAGTTGTTCTGTATTGAAGATATATTTTCTTGACAGCGTAGGAGCATTAATTCTTTCTGAGTCATGCTTCAATGTCTTCGGTTTCCTTTTTAAGCGCTAGCATTGTCGGTATAATGTAGTTTAAAACTTTAATCGCCACGATATTTAATAAGGAGATCTGTCGTTTCCTGTTCAATACATCATTTTCTTCGTCACCTTGGAGATGCGCTAACAGCGCTATCGTCTTAGAAACGTACGGAACTATGGAATATGTCGTAAAATTTATAATAAAATTTAGTTAATATTGCCTAATAGTTGTTACATTTAAACTAACATAATTTTAGAAAATTAATTATAAGCTCTCGATCGACTACTATTTGAAAGATTGAAATTGATTTTAAGAAAGTTAAAGTAATGCGCTATGTAAGTAGATGGTCGCTTTATATATTCGTAATCCAAGAATTAATAATGATGAACGAAGCTGCAAAATACATTTCAAATTTACTCTAAACAAGAAAGTCTAATATTCAGATGACATATCCGTTTTTTATATTGGAAGATTCATATTATAAAAACTGTAAAGATTTTTTGATAATTCGTAAAATGAAACATCAATTTACTTAAATTCATACAAACGAACATAAATAAAGAGCCTTTTTTCTATAAATATAAATACAAATTAAATTTTAAGATGTTCATTATATGAAGGAAATATATTTCAAAGAATTTTTCGTTGCATTAGATTATCTACTACAAACGTTTATATTATAAAGTAATTTAAGAAATCGTGTGAAAAATTATTTGACAATATTGTACAACAAAGTTTTATGTGTATAAATTAATGATTAAAAGAAAAGTTTCTTAGCGTATTCCTAGTAATGAACTTAGTGGCTTCTTTTTCCTATATATACAGCAGTTATTAACAATGTATTTGGAGCGTCTGATTTATCTAAGGCTATGGCAGCGTATTTAACGCAAGTCGAGAGAACAATGGAATGATTAGATTTTCGCTTCGAGATAGTCAAAATAAGAGAAAATTGACAAGAAAGGTCTCTTACGTGTAGTATGCATACATCTATTAAGCTAATTTGACGTTCAGTGATGATTTGTCTGGAGCATCTGGAACGCGCGTCCCACTTTATCCGTCATCACAAACATTATGATCAATTATTTATATCAATTATAATTTATGCTGACTAAGTGACATTTTGATAAACTAGCAATCACACTAGCAATTCTATTTTCTTTATTTTTTTTTTTTTTTTTTTTTGTTACTCTTAATTTATAACACGTGTAAACCTAAAAAAATTTTCATTAAAAATTTTAGGATACAATCAACATTTTAACAATAACTAATAGCGTATTTATATTTAATTACAGCAATTTACAATAAAACACGCCGATCAGAATCATATAATAGATCAGATGAACACGAAGTATTATTATTACACGAGAACGCAAGGACTCTTCAGGATATGTTATCCAAAGGATCGACCACCTACAGGTAAAGTCTTTACTTTTATAACCGAACTCGCTTAATTCGTGAAATATCGAATGTGCGTGCTTGAAATATTTATAAGCGAAGCTAAGAATATATTATATTGAAAACTATTGCAGTCACAAAAGAAGTAAATAAATCATAAATTAACATATTGTTAAAATTCACAATATTAAATGCATTAAAAATGTATTGAGTGTATTATTAACCGATGGTAATTGAAGGTAGACATTGCTAGGAAATTGCGAAATACGAGAAATCTTACTTTATTCAAACGTAACGTTGCTGCTCCATTCAAGTATATGAACGATTCTAGTATACGTCAATTTCCATAGTATTATACACTTATGCATCTATTAATATTGTTACTATTTTTCATCTTAATTATGATTATCAGTTTTATCAATCAGAGATACGTTGCGTTAGAATGTATCTCATTGGCTGGGGCGACGTGCACGTTAATAATAAATATATCCAGAACATAAGCGTTGGGGGATGTCCAAAGATAAGCGACGCTCCATGGAGAAACACACCGAACAGTTTTCTCCGGATGAAGAAAGAAAAGTCAAGAAAAGCCAGGCAGCATAGACACGCGTGAGGCATTCACATGTACGGTTTGCCGACGTCAGTGCTGCCCCTCTCACATGCAAAGCTTTGGACGAATTGCGTGGCAACACTGACGTTTTCCATAAATAATAGCCGTGATTTAGCGCGCGAGTATCTTCATTTGCGCAATGTGCGTGCAACCTTGAATGCAATGGTGTAATGTTTCTTCTTTTGGAATCTGTAATAATCTGGAAAAGAATAATAATTGATTATTACATATTGTTTTACATTGATTATATTTGAATGAAAATAAGTACATTCAGAATTGATGGCGCATTAACGCTGTTATATCAATGTAAACAATTTTATGGAAAATCTGGAACGTTTATAAATTACTCGAAAGAGATCATAACAAATTGAAGAAATGTGTTAATTTAAACTAGAAAAATTGTCGAAAATTTATATGGATAAAACGATGGAAAATTATATGGATAAAAAAATTTTCATGTAGGTTTAAGAAAATATTTTTTTGTATAAATAATTGACTTTATTGTCCATTGTTCAATCTACGAGAATTCAAAGCCTGAAATAATATTATAATATTATTATAAATATCAATTAAATTAACAAAATACTAATAACATTTTTATTCTTACTATTAATAAACTAAAAAACGTTCTAATCTATTTGAAAAGTTTAATAAAAAATAGATTTCGTTAATCATAACATGAAGTTATTTTCTTAAAAAGCTTAAGACCATTAAATTTATTGCTGTTATTCAGAAATACAATTAATCGGCTTTGAATTTTTAAATTCTTTTAAATCTATAACTAACAACAATATTTTATTTGTTTAATGAAATCCAGCATGTAAGTATTTACCTTCTATTCTATAGAAACTAAATTAAATAGTGTAATTTAATAATTTTTTAATAAGGAAATTTATTTCGATCCAGTCAGTCGCAATTGATTAGTTAAATTTGTCTTTTTCTAGAAACTGAATCAATATATATATATAATAATAAATTGAAAGTAAAATGAATTTTCATTAAAATTACAAGTTTAATAATGGAGTAATCTTAGAATAAATATATTGAGGATAAAATGGATCATTAACTCTAAATTAGAAGAAAAGTGAAAAATATAAGTTGTATTTAAAAAGTAAAACAAGCAATTAAATTTTATTGTACTTTTCCCGTAAAGTGTCAGTTCTAAGTACGTATTAAAATATAAGATTGGCATTGACAAAAACATGTCAATAATAAAAAACGTAATGTCTCGTTTTGTTGCAAACGCCACGAAGTCTGTGACTAAAATTTAAAAAATAAAAATATTCCATAATTTTTAGAAGCAGATTTAAAAATTTGCTTGTGTGTACATAGTTTAAAATGTCTTTGATAGTACTTCGCGAAGCTCAGCGACTTCGTCATTTTTATCGCGCGGCAGGTGACGAGGAAGAAAAAATCATAAATATTTAATGCACTCACCTCTCATTAGCGAGAGATGAGGGTCTGCTGTACCATGTGAGTCTCAGCTTCTCCTTTCCTCTTCATTTCTCTTACTCTCTGTATATATAAACACGAAACTTTCTACACAAAAATATATATATATATATATTGCACTCAAGATGCCAGAATGCAACGTTAAACTATTCGATTACTATTTCATTTAATTATATTTACTTTGTTACTATTAAATCTATAGCTTATAAAAGCCTAAGTATTCAAGAATAAAATGTGCCTATTTTTTGCTTTTTGTTTAATTCTTACGAAATATATATATATATATATATATATAATACAACTATTACTTTTTTCTTCGCAAGTATGTACAAAATTTGGCTTCTCACTTATTAATACATTACTGTATTATATCAAAATACAGCATAAAAAATCTATTAATATGTTGCAACTTCAATAAAAATTGATATTAAAAAATTTCTCCAATGAAGTGATTTAAGCTACAAGAACAAAATGGATGTAATGTTACGCGGGACGTCCTTACAGACGTTGTAATTGTGTTAAATGTTTTGAAAAACCATCCGCTATTTATAAATTATCTGATGTGCAAACAATACTAATTTAAATGCTTTCACTCGTAAATGAAAGCAAAATGAGCTATGCTATTAATGAAGCGATAACAATCGGTAAGTTTCGCGAAATTGTGTCGTGCGCAATGACACACGTTAATGAATACGGTGCGCGCGTATATTTCCTTTAAATTTTTCTTTTCTCAGACCTGTGCAAGTGAAAGTCCCAACATACGCGTACGTAATTTACAGGCGAAGAGTATATAAAAGAACGAGAAGTTGCACTTAAAACGTTGACGTCTTTCAAATCGCAGAGAATTAAATTAAATTCCCCGAACGTAGTATCTTAACCGGGTCAGCATCAAATTATGGAACGCAATTACTGGTTATTGTCTTTTATAAGAAGTTTTTATTTTACACCTTTTATTTCTTTTTCTTTCTTTTATTTATAGCACTTGCATTTGCTTTCGTATTTTTTGAAAGTCACGGCGTTGAGGGTTACTTTCATATATTTCACTGTAATTTACAAGTCGATGCAGAAGAATAATAAGGCGATAACACATTAACGATAACGATATTAAATGAAAATTATATTTTTCCTTTAATTACTTCCTTATGAAAAATATTCATTAATTTCAACAGTATATGATGTTTGCTCAACATTTCCAAGTTTAACTTTGCAAATTTGAAATGGATTTATTTTAATATAATCAGCTGTACATTTATTAATATAATAAAATTAAATTGATTATAAAAACTAGATGAAACTAAACATTTTCCAGTAATTATATTTTTTAAATAATGATACTTTAGATCTTATATATAAATTGACCTTTAACATCATTTTTATTAAATTAATTAATGTTTTCTAATAAAAAAATAAAAGTAATAAATCAAATAAATCCGGCAAAATTCTAATTTACCAAGGAATGAAAATGATTGTTTTATTGCAAAATATTGCAATGAATTATCTTTTGTAATTTTTACATTTTATTAACTTTATCTCAACATTAAAAATATAGAATAATATATAGAATTTTTCATTTAGTTCAATATCACACAGAATTATTACAATAACTAATTTTATCAATCAATATTTTGTTCGAAATAATTAATTTATATAGTTTTACTTATAAAATAGTAAATAAAATATATTTTATTAAACTTAATAATTGTTAAAATTATTTGCATCTTTATTTATTTCTAAATTTATCCTTTTTTATAAATTTAGCATCATTATGCGAATTATATAATATTTACAAATAAAATCCCCTGATAAATACCAATATAAAAATAGTTTAAAAATTGTTATTGCTAATATTCTTAAACTAAATGTTGATTTATTAAAAGTTAAAATTAATATGCTAGTTTTATTTTATAGAGAAAATTAATATTTGTGAATATTTGGTTGTTTTAGTAGGATTTGTAATTTTAAAGAATTGAATCAGTATATAATAATATTAAAATTGTTGATTTCTATAAATAAACTATTAACTTATAAGAGATTTACAATTCATCTTTGTTGTTCTAAAAAAATGTGCAAACTGAAAGCTCAACAGTCTATTAATATCAATTTATCTCGTAAAATCTTTAATTTATAAAATTAATTTTGTTTCCTCTATTACAAGATTTTTATTTTATTATTCTATAAAAACTAATATGTAAAATTCATTCTGATTCAAACTTTAATGTTAAAATCAATTAAAAAAGATATGGTTTTACATGAGATCATTGATTGTTTAATACAATATAGTCACTTGTTCTATAAATATAATATTACTATATATATATTATAAAATTTTGTATAAATATATAATTGTTTATATTTTTCGCAAAACATTACCAACATTATCGTGTCAGTAATTTTGATATCAGTGGAAATTGAGAAATCAATGATAATGAAACAGAAAATTTATAAAATGCTTTTAATTGATTGATCTCGTCATAACTATTTCTCATTAGTTTATTTTAAGATCTATATAATCGATTGTATAAGCCAGTATTTAATAAAAGTTTTTTTTTTTATTTTGGATATACATAGTATGATATTGTATATTTCCATGGAAATCTAACAAAAAAAAAATTATTTGATAAAAATATCATTTGTACTCGATTACAATTTCAAAATACATTTTTATAAATTTTTATAATATTATTTAATATATAAGTAATAAAATTGATATAATATGCTTAAATTTAATGTCATATAAATTATATAAATCACCGTTAATTATCATAATTAAACCTAAATCCGTACTTCTTTTTATTCTCATTGTTACATTATTGCATTAAGATAATAAGCTTTAAAAAATAAACTCTACGGATTACGAAACAATTAATAATGTACATAAATTGTTAGAAGCAAATTAGAAAGGCTTAAGGAATTATAGAAAAACTGCCATTTAAAATATAAAGTTTAAAAATTATTTCAG